GAGTAGAGCCCCAGCTAGGCGAAATCTAGTATTGTATGCTAACTAATAAAAAATAATTCAACAGCTTTATTTTCTTATAATTTTAAAACAATTATAATGGAGTTAATTTTATTCATAAAAAATGACATTCTTTGTTAAATCAAAACAAAGTATGTATTTAATGACGAACGTATTAAATTTCTCAAAAAATTTCATAATGTTTTGTAATTAATGTTGTAAAATTTCCATAATTTTTTAAGGAATTTCAGAAAATTTGGATTACCAATAAATATAAATTTGGCATGAAAACCTAGGATAAGATATAAATTCTTGAAAATTCTTTTTAAAAATAGAGGTGTTAATTTTTAATAAGTACACCTAATTTTGTCAGTAAAATCTATTTTAACTAAGTTTTTGTATATTAATTTATTATGCATTATTAGTCATAAATAAATATATGTTGCATGTTTTATTACTTTAACAAAATAGTTCAGTACATATTTCAAGGATTTTTTATGATTAAATGAATATAATTTTAAACTTTTTAAATGCACATGAATCTGATTATAACTAACAGCAAATATTATTATCAGTAAATTATTTTAAATTATCATATAACAAGAATAAAATATTTTCAACTTTATTGTTTATTTTTTTAACAACATTCAACCTTTTTAACAAAAACTTGTGAGCTGTTAAACTATGTCTAAGTTAAATAAAAATTCTGTTATCATTATTTATACAAGTTCCATAGAACAAACCAAGGAGAAAGCAATTTGAATTTATACTGTTTTTTATGAGACTTTGTAATATCACGTTAATAAATTAATAAAAAACTACAAGTTGTTTAAAAGAATAAGTATTCTATACAGAGGATGATTGTAGTTGTAAGAGGTATAATGAGAATTAGTATAAAAAAGAGAATGATTTCTAGTTAAGCAAGGGATCATATGGACGGATATATAAGACAGAAGATTAAGAGCAATGGTTGAACTATTAAGATGTAAAGTGATGAATGAAAAGTAACAGTAAATTGACGGAAAGTAATTTGGTATATTAAAAGGGCTTTACGAAAAAATAATAGTCATGAAGTGAGTGCGTGATTTTGAGAATAAAAGTAGTATAAGAAAGGAAACCATTTTTAACACGTACAATACGAAGTTGGTATTAGCTAAGTAAGGATATTGTACAACTACACCATATTGTAATATGGAACGTACCAAAGAAAACTATGAGAGAGAGAAGAGAGAAGTAAAAAGGCTAGTATGGCGCTTTAAAAAGTCCAAAACTTTTAAATATTAATATAATATTATATAACTGTAATATTAATATGAAACAGAAGAAGTTAAATAAAGTCTCACAAGTCTGTAACCAAGAATACACGTTTTAGCTCAGGACTACCAAGGGAATGAAAGTTATAAATAAAAAACTACAGGTGGATTTACCAGGACGGAAGCCATGCTGTTCATCTATTGCGGCATGGTCGAGTCTCCTTTAAATGGTAAAATAGATCAGAGATTTGAATAATTTAGTAGCAGTTTTAGCAGTTTTATAGACTTCCTGCAACCAAAATTTTTATAATTTTTTAATAAGTTATCATTTGTTCACTGTAGTTATCTTTTCTATTAATACCCAAAAAACCATTAACAAAAACGTGAAATGATTGCCATGCTTTTGTTTATACTACTGTCATTTTTTTTTTAATTTCCGATAGGATAACATTTTTTTTATTTAAGGACCTATGAAAATATCACCTTTAATTTTTGAATCTGAGAGCTTAGGAAACAATATTTTAGCATTGTTGCGAACCTGAGAAGGTATTGATTTCACATTGACGTTGTTTTTTTTAATATGAACATAATGTCCAATTGTGATAGATGATAAGTTATTCCCATTGTGAAGTAAAACAGTATTGTGGTTTTTACTTGAACTTTCAACGAATAAACGCTAATTTAAAAGATTATGTGCGACATTTATTGAAAAAAGTAAATATATCAATGATATATTATAATATAATATAATATAATATATTAACAAATATATTATATTAATCATAAAGTTATTTTTGAGCAACTTTATTATACTGAGAAAAATTAATATACTTTTTTCTTTGTTCAGAAACTTTAAATTCTGAATTTTACAAATTTCATTATTGTAGGCAAATATACTTTTCCCTTATATTTTGGGAGGCCTAAGGCTTTTATTAAATCATCCATTTTTCTTTCATTCGGAAAATGAGGAATTATATCGTATCAATATCGTAATGCATTTCATCGTTCATAAATAGAGCCTCAATATTTATAGAAATANATGCATTTCATCGTTCATAAATAGAGCACAATATTTATAGAAATAATCAATAAAGGAGAAATAGGGATAGGTAACAAAACACTATGTGACACAAGACTAGTTAATAATTGTATATTAGGATACACTATATTAGATATAGATGTTCTATATTAAGCATTTTGATATCCATCATACAATCAGCATAATACTTTGTGGGTACTTTCCAAATCCGAAATATAGCATGAGGCATATTTGGGCTCGTATAACAATTTCCTAATATTGTTTGACAACTTTTTAACTCTTTAATTATAAATAGTGTAAATTATTTAAAAACTAAAAAATCAACCAAAAAAAATAAAAAAAACTTATAAACATTACTCTTTCATATTCTAACATAAATCAAAATAAATTTATGCAATAAAATCTACCAGAATAAAAAAAAAAAATTGACTCAAACAAATCATGATCTAAAATTTGTCTGGTATTTAATAATTTCTAACTCTCTTTAAGCTCATTAAATAATTATTCAATTTTTCTGTTTGGACATCTAAAATGCCTTCTACTTCTTTCACTTTCTTAAATCTTCACTTAATAGTTATATTCTAAGTTTAAAAGATTTCTATCAAAATGTATATGGTCTAAAAACTAATCATAATAATCTGAAATGTTTCATATTTCTTTTCAACGCATATGCTTTTTTAGTTCTCACAGAAAATTGACCATCTTCTAATTTCTCTGATGAAGAACTTGGCTTAGCTGGTTACAATGTAGACTTAATAGAAATTTCTTCAGAGAAAACAGAATTTTACTAAAAATCAAAAATTCTTGTTTAATCAATATATTTATCAAATTCACGTAAGTAGTACTGCTAGTATTTGTACTGCTTTGTATGCAAAATGAAACTTCAAGTTGATATAAAATGATATTATTATCAGAGGGGTTAACATATTTTGTTAGACCTGTTTACTTCTGATATATTTAAATGACTTATTAATAATAATAATAAAAAAAACACATCATGGTATAATTAATACCTTCTCAGCTTCGCATCGAAGCTAAAATAAATGAAATAAACAGATGACAAAATGATAAAAAATTTATTAAATTAAAAGTAAATAAATATGATCGGGTTATTTCGACAAATGTTTTGGTTTTTTTAATTCTATCTGTAGATAGGTAAAACTAATAAGTTTGACGTGACCAGAGCCATATTTAGGGGGTGGCTAAGGGGGGCAAAAATAAATGCCATACATTTTGGTACGGGCAACTGCTTACCCTGCCCATACGTTAAAACCGCCACTGCCTCATGGTGATTAACGGATAAAGCTAAATGGTTCTCAATTTTTTTAGTAGGTAATCAGGTAAAAAATTAGTTTTGCAGAAATGATAATCTCCCCTTTCTATTAAAGGGTAGACAAATAATAAACCGTCAATGGTCTATAACTACTAAAATGTACAAAATATGCTACACAATTTATTGTTGTTACAGTATTTTTCACATTATTTGTATACAATTTAGATTGAGGTTAAGTGTTTTCAGCTATTTGATAATTGATCAGGATAAATTGTCAATTGTTAACTTGACTAAAATATACTTAGAATATGCAGTTCAATAACATTTTTATTGTTTATCATGTATTATGCATATAATATAGTTATAAAATACACAAGAAAATGACATATATTTTTTAAAATTCCCAAATATTCGCACGATATATTACTTAATACGTATATTAAATAATTGATTACAATTTTGAATTTTGAGGGATTTCTTTTAATTAGTTTATAAGTTAGGATTTTTTTTATTCATAAGGTTATTAGTAGGATCTAAAATTTGTTTAAGTTTATTTAAAAAAAAATAATAATGTTGCTATATATAACACACAGTTTATATAACTATTTTCCTGACAGTGAAGTATGAATTATGTTTGAAACACCGACTTAAAAACATGTCTGAACATAATACAAAATAATATTTTAATTTATAAAAGACTAAAAATATTTATTAAAAGAAATGTTTTAGTATTGTTTTTTATTATTGGTTGTTTTACAACTATAAAATTTGCGGATTTGATTTTTATCGTCTTTATTTTATAAAAGACATTCCAATTTCAAACATGTTTCATTGTTCATCTTCTAAGTTGCGATAACTCTGCATGGCTTTTTACAACCATTGGTAAAATTTCAAACAATATCAATACTTTATGTTATGGAATCATCAATTAGGAATGTATTTGGAAAATTGACATAGAACGAATTTTTTGCAATTCCAGTCTTGGAATTGCATATACAAGAATTAATACCTGGCACATAAGTTTGAAAATGACTTATTTACAATTTAAACTGATGAATAGTTCACATTTTTACTGTGGTATAGTATTGTCACTTTGATTGTATTCTTGAACACAAAATGTTAAAACGAATTTACTAATATTTTTACAAAAAAAAACTAATGATTACATCTCGATCCAATACTAATTCAAAAAATATTAATTTTAAAATATTTAAATCTCAAATCTTTAATTTAATTGAAAATTTTAAAAATTAAGTTATTTTTAGTTTTTTAAATATCAACTTTTAACTAATAATCTAATAGCTTTTTATCATTATTATAAAATANTATCAACTTTTAACTAATAATCTAATAGCTTTTTATCATTATTATAAAATAATTATGTTATACATTTATTACATTTATTTAATCTTAAAACTAAGGTAACACTGTAATATACATATATTATAGATTATTAATAAATTATTATAACACAGATAAGGTAAAAATTTTTGTGTTCAAAATTCACATTAGAGAAAATATTATTACAAAAATAATTTATGTACAAAAAAAAAAGAGTAGATTCTTTAAAATATCGATTAAAACAATCAATGTGCGTACAAAATTTTGATTATTATAATCTTTTGGTAGTAGTTGAAAATCAATGGTAACAATCACTATACAGGTATAGATAGCGTTCATCTAAAAAAAAAAAAAGTTAATAATCTATTTAAAGTTAATATGTCATAAAATTTTAAAGATATTATATTTCCTGATATGGTTTCGTTCATAATGAATTCGTTAATATAAAGAGTGATTCTATTATAATAAACTTTTAATTAAATTAAAAAATAAAAATAATATTGATTAATAATTTTTTGTTTGCTTTTAGTTACATACTTTTCTCAATTTAACAATCGTGAAGTATTTTTTATATTTATCCCTTATAATAGTGTTAACTTTATTTTTTCAAATGATAACATATGAAATTAAGTAGATTATTTAATAGATAATGATCTAATTATGAAAATGATTGGTGGACAAGAATTTTTAAATCAGTTTTTTGGAAGTTATTGACATTTTTATAACTAGTCGGGATGAAAAGTACGCGTGGGAGCGTAATTTACAAATATGGGCACTTTTAGAATCTGCTCTATTTAATTGGCTTATTTTATATTTTGCCGTGCTTATTTACTCTTATCATTTGCGGGTGGTAGTTTTGAATTTTGGGTCACAAACTCTTACAAATTAATTAATTTTAAAAGGTTCGATTTGGGCTAGATTTTTCTTCTTTGGTGGTTGGGTTTGGTTGGGTTTGAACCTGCTAAAAGAGTTATTAAAATGTGTGGGAGTGTTTTCTCTAACCTTCTAGTTCAAGTACCTTTTTTTTAACGTGCTCTACGTACTACTATACACCGTAGTTAGTTAATCCGTATGCTCAATCAATATGATTACGAAGAACTCTAATCATTCACCTATGCCGACAAGCGTAGATGATACCAATACTGATAATAAAAAAAAAATTATAAGAGTAACCGAAGCAATCTAAGATAAGCTAATCAGAGCAATGAAATTTTGAGAGTTCTCACATTTGCAAAATACGTTGCTGAGAAATGACTTGTGATAAAAATAACAGCACATGCGTTTTACCTCCAATTAATTTTATAAAATATCATGAATTTCTGTTGTCCATCAGCTATTTTCTTCATTAGATCATCATTTATTTGATGAAATTAATTTAAAAATTTACTTTTTTAGTATTTGAAGCAACAATTGTCATGATGAACTCGTGGGAATAGCTTTGAAAAGTTTTGAAGATCGATTGATGAGCGAAAAAAATGAAATTTGTCACAATTGCTTATTGGAAGAAAAGATTTTTAAAATCGTATGACGGCAGTTGTTGAAGTTATTAATATCAGTAGGCTAATAAATTCTTTAGCGCTTCCCGCAGTTACAGGTTCGGGTTTGGCAACAACACTCACTAAAATAACATACAGAAAAATATAAAATAGCTAATTAATAATAAAATTTAATTGAATTATTTATAATTGCATTATAAACAATCATATTCCAATATTGTATTTTGGGATAGTTCCCTAGGTCAACCCTAAAGCAAATAGCTAAATTAAAACAATTTACGAAATACCATACCAGTGACGTAAAAATAATATAATTTATATGTGAACCTAATAAATGCATGTTTTCATGAAAACTGTTGCCATTTTTTATGGTATTACTTTTTAGATATTTTCGTTATTGTATACTCTAAGTGTTGGTCAATTTAAAATTGAGTTTAATTAAAAAATAATTTAAAGTAATTGTATAATCACTTTTGTTACAAGTAAAAAAAGGAATATGTATTATCATGAGTACAAGTTCCATAACATTTTTGAAGGAACTTATTATATTTAATTTCTCTCTCCTTAATTATTTTTGTATAATAATAATATATAATCTATAGTTTCTCTGTAATTTTGGAGAGGCTAATTTTTAAATTGGACGGTCTAATCTTCTCCAAGATTCCCAGTTTATGCCTATGCGTAATATTTTATTACATTAATATTAATTATACAATTGTGCTTCTTATAAGATTTTCTTAAATTAATCTTTTATAAATAATTTTTTTAATTACCAATTAATGATTGTGTTCTGTAATCCGCGTAATCCAAATGATTAGGACCAAGGTATCCGGGAATGGTAGACAAGCAAGTCAAATGAACTTCAGCACCCAGTTTGTCTGTAACTGGTAGAGTCAACCGCATGGCTGCTGCTGAATTTAGTGCTGCCTTGACAATTGGTTTCATATAGGCATCTGGTTGCTGTAACATGCAAGTATAATTTATATTACTAAAAATAATTATAAATAAATACATAATACATGTTTATTATACTTATACCTTTACGTTTTAACTGATGATATTAATCAGTATTATATTTTTAATTCATGCCAAAAAAAAAAAAATCTTCTATTAACCAATCTTATATGTTTTTTTATTTTCAGTTATTGAACAAATATAAAATTAATTTAATTATGTATTAAATCAATCATAGAAAAGTAAAAACATTGATGTTATTATAAAATTTGTAGCGTTTTGATATCAACAAAAATCCAATTGAATTTTTTAAAATATGGTTCATTTAATATTAGATGATATGTAAATATATAAACAATGAGTTCATCAAATAGTAATATATTTAGTTCACTTATATTGTGTGTCCCACCTTGATTTACTAATTTTAACATTAGTTTATATAGTAAAATTAATAAATCACGGTGGGATAACCTGTACAGGTTTCCATTGTCCTCATTGTTTGTATCAATTAACATGTTTCCTTACTTTTTGAACACATACTACAATGAGTGAATTTTTCTTAGTTTTCGTGTTGCTAGTTCTGCAAGTTTTATTCGATTTTTTATATAATAATTATAAAATAGAATTTTATTTCACTACATTGTTTAAAAAATACATGTTAAGTTTTGTATACAAGCAATGGAAATTTTTAATGTATACAAAGTATGGCATATTTTTGATATTTTAATGATAAAAATGTTTTTTTTACAACAAATTTCCCTACATGAGTGTAAAATTAACATGTTTGTTAAAAATATCTTAATAGCGTGTGAATATTTTCGGATAATTTCTTTCAGTACATAAAATAAAAAATTTTCGAACTATCTCCTCGAGTAACGTGAGAATATAAAACACCATTTTTCAAAAGAGAACAAGAGACATCTGTCGTGGGTCATTATCGTTTGCTATAAATATTTAAGAGAATTCGAGGTAAATATTTTGCTCGTCAATATAAAAATCCAAAATTATTTTCTCTTTCATTCCACTCTTCATATGCATATAATTAATTTAACTTAACGGTTGGGTAAACTGAGAAAAAAAATACGGTCGATAATTTTTGTTCTGTTAAATCAATTATATTTTTGTTACTGATACAAAATATTTGTTTGCTTGATAAATTACACTAACAAAAGTTTTTTGTTTAACTAGCAAAAAATTATCATCGGCTATATGTTAACAATATTTTTTTTGATTTTACTAAGTTTTTTTTTTCAGTGAAGTTAAAAGTTAAACATCGTCCCAAGTTGTACGATAAAAATATTTTTCATTGCTTGGTGTTTAATGGTGTGATTTTGATGTAAAATAATTGTCCACACTTATAAACCGGACTTTCTAGGCTATTCCATATAATAAATTAGTTACTAGTTTTACTTTGGGATGGTCAAGTGCTTTTTTTTTTCGCATTAGGTATTATTATTAAGCTATTAAATACAAAATGTATAGCAGCTCAAACTAATCAACCAAAATTTTTAAACCAGTGACAGGCGTTACAATTAGAATCGAATTTAAGGAAGAAATCATCTAACTTTTATAATGTAAAAAACAATTATGCAACTTGAGTTTTTTTCAAGTTGTAGATCTATAAGTTGAAAACTTTTGATGCAACACTGCTACTTTACATCAAACATAGTATAGAAAAATAAAATGATCAATAGTAGATTGGAGTCTATTGTATTGTATTTTAATATGGTGATTTTATTTTATGATATTATAGAAGATTGAAGTATATTGGATTTTTATGTAGACGCTTATTTGCTGACGTTACCTTTACAAAAGAATAGTTTGAAAGTATTTTTTGACTTAACACAATGAACAATTTTATTTTTTGACTGAAATTTTAGCTGTATTCTCGTATCATATAATCTCTACGAAGGCAAGAAAGAATTCAATGTTTATAGATTAAAAATTATAGAATTTTATAATTTTATATAAAATGTCGGTATTTTTTTTAAATGTAATGGATTAAATCATTTTGTTAAAATTTATTTAATAGGTTTTCACACCTTTCGTCCATTCACCAACCAAGTTATTTCTGGTACAGGTTTCGATGGACCTGATGTACAAATAGCTTCCAAGATTTCTCCAACATTGAATACTTCTTTGGATATTTTGATTACTGGATCTCTATCTTGAATTTCTAATAATAAAAAACATATAATAAAATTTTAAGTATTTGTTATAATTTTCATGTATATCTTACTTATTACGGTTAGATCTCGATATTCTGAAGTTTTACTGTAAATAGGTGATTCTAGGGTTACTGTACAACCATATTGGCCAGATGCATCATGCTGTAGGTTGAATAAACCTAGTTGTGATGGTTCCGTGTTGTCCCACTAAAAATATTAAAGTCGGATATAAATTATGTATGTAATACATTTCTTATTAATATTTATTAAAAAATAATCTGTGTAATGTCACCTAATTGTAGAGCAATTTAATAAAATTATTTAATGATAAATATCTATACCAAAGAGTTGTTAGATGATTTATGAGTTATAACCTTTTTAAGATACTTTTGTTATTTCATAATATTTAATTTTGTTTATGGTGATCACTATCAGTGGATAAAATTAGAATATTCTAACTGAGTTAGCTTTATATCTATAAAAGTCATTTTAATCTTGTTATGAAGTTAAAACTTTTAATATTTCCAAACTTACAGTTTCAGTGTCATTTTGATCTATCTTATAAAAAATTATGAGTGTTTTTATTAAAAAATAACTTTTAATGTCAAACCGATTTAAAATAAATCCTATTTACTTGTAATTCAGCTATTTAAAAATAATATATTTTTATTATTATAAGTGTCACAAGCATAGTTGTTTAATTAAGTTGTAATGAATTCTGATAATGAACCCTGGAAACTTTTTATTTACTCTGACAGCTCTTGGTATATCTTGGTATATTGACTTTAAGTTAAAATTAAACTTGCAACTTGTTTAAATAAAGCTGTTAGGTTGAATAATTTTAATTGTACTGTAGATTTACTTTTATAACTATGAACTCATCTTTTGACGTCATGTTTACTGGAAATATTCAGAAAAAGGATACACAAGTCGATAAACAAATAGAAAACATATTAAGATAACAACAGAAACAACAACAACGAGAACTAAAATGGTCTGTTTATCATAATAATAAACAACTGCGGTTTTAGTCTTAACTTAGTTAAAGTACCGCAACCGTTTCTACCTCAACTTTTCTTGTAAAATAGACTAACCAAAAATGATCTTTGTCTTTCCTTTTAAGTTCATTGGAAACACATTTCTACGGTTTTGTGTTACGCTTATGTACAATATGTCTAATTGTACCCACAAGTAGTGTATCTAAAATATTTGTTCGAGTATTGTTTGGAGAGACATTTTTGTGGTTTAAAAAATATTTAATGTTTTAATATATATAAATTGGTATTATAAATTAATTAATTTAATAAACTATGTAATATAATTATAATCGTATGCCTTCAATTAAATTTTTCATCGTTCAATTTCTAAAATAGATTTTTTCTATTGAAAGTAATTATTTTTCATTAAAGTGGATTTGAAATTCATTTGTAATATTATATTATTACTTATAATATTAACATATAATATTATGTTATGTGTACATGTATGTCAATTACATGTATGTTATGAATATACAAGATCACCAAAACCGGGTTCTCTTATTTAAAATACAAAATAACCAGTTTATTATGGGATAAAATCCAATTATTGTAGAGATTTTTAAGTAACACCTATACGCAGGGCCCCATTACAATTAAACAATTAGAATAGAAAGAATCAGTTTCCAAGATCACGGTAGGGATCGCTGGGCTACCCCCTTCGGATTATAAACAGCCATTATTCTCTGTCTAAACCAGTTCTTTCGGCGATTTTAAAATACACAAAATCTACGACACTCTACTCAAGATTTTACTCTCTAGGACTTGGTCGTTTTTTTTAATTAATTTGGACTTAATTTGAAACTAAATGACATTTAGAAATTTTAAAGTAAATTTTATTTTGGTGAATTTTTTAATTTAATTTAATTTGTTCATTAAATAATAATGTTTTATTTTTCTTATCGAGGAAATAATATTTTAAATATAAAAAATTTTTTTTTTTATTATTTTATTTTAATAATAAATCCAACATAACTTAAAATTTTTATTTAATAATAAAAATCTACTGTAAGCTTTTCTTATTGGGTAACTAGTCTCTGAGCTTAATGTCTTTGTACATCGTGCCGACGGACAGAGCTAAAGGTCACAATTTTCTCAGTTACTACTGAGAATTTAATTAATTTATTAATAAATTTATTGGACTAACAAGTAAGTGTATTGCAACTCTATACCTACTGGGTAACTAGTTATTGAGCATAATGTCTTTGCTTTAACGAGCATCGTGCCGGCGGACAGAGTAAAGGATGCAACTAGGTATTATTCTAGAATTAGGTATATTAGGTTAGAATATATTATATAAGCCTATGTGTATTGGGTAGGTAGTCTTTGAGCTTAGCAAAGAAACTTACGAATATATTTTTAGTGTTTAATTTTTGTCTTGGTGATTTTTGTGTCGCATCCTTTCAAGGTGCTAGTGCCGGGATACATTGGGTCACCATAATTACGCCTTGATAAATCTTTTACATAGATATAAATATTTTTGAATCTTGTTTTGGGTAGGCCATAGGAAGATTTAAGAAATATTGTTGTCGATTTCTCAATAAAATATACTCTCTCAAAAAAAATTATTCAACAAACGTAAAAAATTTAATAAAAACAGATCATAATTATATTTTTAATAAAATATAGAGTGTTTAGAATCTTTTACAAGTAAAAGCAGTCATAGGTTTTGTATAATTAAATTGTATTATTTAAAATTTGAATCATTTTAGTAGGTATTATATTGATTATATGACGTGTAGTGTATATCGCATACGTAGTGCATTTAATACTAAAATCAACATTGGATTAATTGAAATATTATTTCATTACATAGGACGTAAGATCAGTACAATTTAACCTGTGCTTTTGAAACTCCAACAATCTATTGCGTGATAAACCATTAAATAATTTATAAGATAATTGATAAATAAAATAAAATTATATAAATTTAAAGTATTTAACATTCCAAATATCCCCCTACAATTCCAAACAATTCCCCAAACAATTCCCCAATCAATTCTAATCTAAATTCTATATTTCTTTTTCTTTTCATTCCTTTACTTATTTTTATTTTTTGATTTATTAAAAATTGTACTAAGAAATAATTTCAATTAATTTGTTAATTCATTAGGTTGAAATTGTATCATTTTTTACTTAAAATGATATTTAATTTGAAAAATTTGATTAATATTTTAAGAAATTTTTGTTGGATTTTATACATAAATTTTACCTAGCTATTCAAAATACGAGTACTTACGTCTATTTGTGCTCCTGGTATTGAATTGTTGATATAAGGCGGCATCCGACCTCTGATATACTGAAATAGTTTATTACCGCTTTTGGTCCATTGAACCTTGTAGAGATCGTTTTCGGAAACTGTATGATTACACTTAAGTACCACGCCTTCGCCTAATTTAGCGTACCTAGGAACTACTGCGACAAGATCAAATAGATCTTTACAATCTGAAAAATAAATAAAACATTCAAATTTATACTTTGGCTCAAAATTTAATGTGTTTGTGTGTAGTAATTAAGGTATCTACAATCAATAGTTATTAGTTAGAAAAATTTTAGTTTAAATAATTGAACAATTTTAACTACTGTTATCAATGTATTTTATACTTTCTATATAAATTTCATAACGGTTTCATATTTTTTGTATATTAGGGAACAATGCCGGCGCTAGATATTGTGGGACCAAATACAAAAACAATTAAAAAAAATTGTTATGATTATTTAGTAAAAGAGACCTTTTATGCATATCAGACATTTTAAAGCGCAGGGGCCTTAGGAAAATGCATTGGTAGCTTTGTTCTTCCCTCAACCCTAGTATGGAACGAAACTACTTAAGTGTTCATTTGATATATATATATTAAAAATGATTATACTCTATTAAAAGTCGAAAAGCTAAAGTGTTTCACAAATATAATAATTGAATTTTGGTTTATAAATTCATAAAATTCACATGTCAAGATTAATTTTCAAGGGGGTTGGAGGATTGATTGGTAATGACAGCCATATAAAAGGTTATAGCGTTTGTATCATGTTAAGTTCTTAAAAGTCTTTAACCTTTGAAATATTGTATATTAAATTATTATTTTTTTTTCGATATATTTTTAGGACAACTTCGGTAGTTTACACTTAAGAAGGATTATTTTATTAACTTCTTCAGTATTTCATTGTTTATTTTACTTTATGGGGCCTTACTAGCGATTTTCAATGACTGTACAGCTTTGGGCGTATTATTTTACTTAATAATTTAAATTAATTAACTTTGACGTTAAGGTAAAAAATCATTCACAAGAATTAATCAGTAGTGTAGACAGTTAAATTATTCTTTTTATTTACAAAATGTTTAAGTTTCAGATAAAAGTTCAAATTTCAGTAACAGTAACTCATGAAAATTACTATCAGGTAACTTAATTATTTGTATCACTTTATTGAATTATTTTGGTAGCCACTTGAAAATAGCTATTAAGACACCGGACACTTTTTCGGAACAGCTGTATACATGATCGTATACATTATTTTTTATAAATACTTGGTATAAAAGCGCAATTATGAAATTTTATCTTAAGATTTACACAAGGTCGTGCTCAGGGTAAGGGTTAAATTTTCTATGACATATTAACCATAATTTAATGAATTGTTAAATACTTATAAATAATTTTTTGTAAAATAACAAAAATATAATATAAAATGAAGTCTATGATCTTTTAAACTGAAAAAATCATTTTTTAAGTAAACTATATAATTTTACCTTATTCCTTTAGTTAACACAGTTTCAAAACAGAATAATCATTTATGAGAGAAAACAATGCATTGGAATGTTAAAATTTTTACTCAAAGCTTAAATCTTTAATTATGCGCATAGGATTTTTAATGGAGGTGGTGTTATCTCGATTATAAATACTTGCCTGGTATAACGTTATGAATGGAGTGAACCTTTTATGACTTGATAGATATAAATACAATTTGTATGCATAATTTTTGGTTTAATAAAATAATTCAAACCTAAAAATATATACTAAAGAATGTATATTTTATTTATATAAAGTGTACAACAATTTATATAAAATAAGTTTATCAACTAAATAATCATTAATTCACCACCTTTACTTAAAAACCAACAAAGGAAAAGTTATTATGAAATTTTCAAATTTTTTACTAACAAAAAATACTAAAATAGTAAATAATAAGTCTTAATACTCTTTTATATTTTCCTGAAGATTTTTTCAAATATATTCACCAAAATTAAAAACCATAATTTTTTTTATATTCAATACTGAAAGTATTTCAGGTCCATAAATTAAAACATATCACAATCGAGGTAACAAAATGAAACGGAACTTAAACGAATGGCACAACCCTTCCGGGGACGTTTTGAGATAAAAGGAGCGCTATTTTTGTCCGAAACTAAACGCCGAGATAAATTACTGTGGTCTGTCGGTTGAAACTACTTCATATCGCCTACACGCGATCCTCTTACCCGTCGAGAAGGTCGTTAAAGCCAAACCATAAAGTGTGCATACAAAAATTAACGAAACACTAGACTTTTAAAAGATTTCAACAACACACTATATACTTAAAAAAGAAAAAGAAAAAAATTAAACTTAATTTTGACGCTATGTTTAGTTGCTGCTTTCTTGGCGCGCTGATAGTGTATGCACTAAAATTTCCCAGGAGAACCAAATAATCGCATTCGCATTCAATTCTATTTCTGCTTTATAAGGGGCTCATGAATAAAAGAAAATATCGACCTTACTTTTTTTCATTATTACTACAACATTATACTACTGATGTGTTGCTCTATCAAAATTCATTCATTTGTAATATTCGGCGTTCATGACATGTCAACAATTTTTGTGTGAAACCAAATTCTTCTTTTTTCATTTATTTTTAATCAATTTTGTCAAGGTTGTTTTGTATAATACTTCTTGGTTTAATTTTTAGATTATTTTTTTATTTAAATTAAAATAACCTCCAAAGAATCGATTTTGATACTAATTTCAAATCATGGAAAATCCTACAGCTTTTTTCTTGTAAACATTACCTGTTTGTATATCCTCCAATATATTTACATCTCTTCGAATCGCTTTATTTTCAATTAATGCGCGTAAAGTTGGTTTTTATTAAATTTAGAGTTTAAGCGTTTTTCTTTTAAAAACAAAGTAAATAAACAATTATCAAATTTCAAAATTCGACGGCGCAAAGTAAAAACGTGAACATTTATTTTACTATTATTCGAACAATTGCTGTAAGAAATTACATAAGAAAAATAAGTATTTTAGTGTTTGTTAGTATAATTATAATCAAAAGAAACTAAATTATGATGTCATACTGCGTATTTTTTATACTGTAGTTATTTAAAAAGTAGGTATTTTTTTTCATTATCCATAATTGGATTTTATTCCTAACACCATCGACATCTTGATTCAATAAGCCCAAGTTACAATAATTAATATTGTGTATTTCGCAGCATGGATAATATTTATGCATTTATTTGATGATATGTTTTTCATTTATGTATTATGGAGACAATGGCTGGATTAGTAATTCTTTTTGGAAAAAAAATCCCTTTGAACAATTAAATATAATTGAGTTTGTATGGGTTTTCTGGTCAAAAAAATGTCTCTCATTATGTGTGCACTCGGAAAATTTAATTTATGACATTTGTTGGGAATTGTTTTTCACCGCGGGGTAGCAAAATATCATCACATTCTTGCCTGCTTATAAATTTAATTTCTATAAACGATTTATTCTTTGTCGAGTAAACAATGAACTTTAATTGCGGTGGACGAATACATGTGATTAGATTAATGAGAGTAATTTTGGCCCATAAGCCTAAATTTTGGTAAAGTAGTTTTTAAAGTTAAAATAAGTTGATGTAGGTTTATACTTACAAGAGTTAAAGCAATTAACGCTTTGTATCAAAATAAAAATAATGAAAAATAAATCGGTTTATTTGATCAAATAAACATTTTTTAATAATTGACATTGTTGAATTGTGATAAAAATTTACAATGACACTGATTTTTAATTGAAATACTTGAATAGGTTTAATAAACGTCAAGTGTTGCTGTTTTATGGGGTACGTAATTGTTGAAAATTTATGATATTAATATGAATCACACAAAAGTGTTACATTAAAAACCATTGCAAGTTGGGTTTCAGTGTACTTTTATTTATGTTCACCTTTTGCGTAAATATTTAATAATATTATACGTTAAAAGTATAATCAATTCATTTTCGTATTTTCTTCTTAACAAAAATTTTTACATAATTTATGAGATAAATGAAGAATTCATTAAAATTGTTAGCAAACATAGTTTAATTTCGACAAAGTTTGATTATTTTGTTTTCTACATCTTTTAAACATCATAATTCTAATAATTGCCATAAGACTAGTGCATTCAAAATTCCAAAGAACAAACATATGCTTCGTTACACTGATTAATTGATTATTAGAATTCACTAATAAATTAGGGCGTGCCCGAAAGCTTTCAAACTTTTATACATGAAAATGCTAAAATATTTTATGGCAAAACTTTCTTGGCTGGAATTATATCTATTGATTTGTTGTGCTCATAGAAAGTCAATAAACAAACCGTGAATATAATAATACATTTATAGTAGGTCAGAGTGAACAAACAGCCGTTAGGCTCCAAAGATACCTTGTTTAAAACACCTTTAAATATGTGTAGGCAACTCTTTGTATCTTTTTTAAGTCTATTAAGCAATCAGATACACGTGCACGTCAAAAATAGTATGTTTGAACAAAATATAAAATGTTATTAAAACGGTAGAAAATATGAAGTTTCTGTAGGTTTTACTGAATGAAAATCGTTTTCGAATTCATTAAATATACAGATACATTGTTCAAAGCAATTGTCGGATTGAGGCAAAGTTGTACAGATAAAGTGAGAACTTTGTTAGGGCGATCATGTAAACATAATGTTATACATTTGATTTTCGCCTTTCAGCGGCCGGTCAGTATGTTTTCGATAAGTTTTCTTTAAAATGTGGTTAACTGATAATGCAATGTATCTAGGGAAATCAATTAATGTGTAATACTCCTCAAATTCTGTTAATATGACTATTGTAATATAGTGATGACAAAATGAGTAATATTATCCAATGTGGTTTACTAATTATTAAACATTGTTTATTATAATATAACATATTATGTTGATGCTGGTGATATAGACCATTTATAGAACGATGGTAGTAATTTTGAAATTTCTTTTTTGTAATCATTATTACTAAATAATTTAAAACATTTTTTTTTTTAAGTTTTTTAAATATAACAATAAAGTAATTTAAAAGCAATCTGAATTACTTAAATTGGTTATTTTTATAGGAAAAAGCATCCAACGAACAATATAAAGTATTTTATTACATTTCCTTCTCAGTAAAAGTTCATTTTGAAATTGTTCACGTCCCTTTTCCCCGAAGTGAATATT